CACTCCCTCTTTGAACTGTTGCCATCTGGTCGACGCTACAGAGCACTGAGCACCAGAACGGCCAGACACAGGAACAGTTTCTTCCCTCAGGCAATCCATCTCATGAACACTTAACAATAACTGTAGAACACACACTATTTATACACTCATACACTTATTTATCTAACACTCATACTCAGTCTACACCTCAAATTTGCACATAATATACAGGACCTGTACATACAAAAACTGTCTATTGTAATATACCTGCACATACAATTGTCGATTTATATATTTTTATTCCTTATTTACTTGTTCTATTTTATTTATATTTTATTTTCTGTGTTTTTTGTTCTGTCACTGTCATTCTGTTACACTGTGGAAGCTTCTGTCACGAAAACAAATTCCTTGTATGTGTAAACATACCTGGCAATAAAGCTCATTCTGATTCTGATTCTGATTCTGATCAATCAACTGAAAAAGTTTTTTTAACCTTGTAACATGGAGTGTCTTGCCTTAATGATAACAAAAAATAGGACTTCTAAAGGCCATGCATAAACACTAATGTGCTCACCTCAGGGGGTTTTCAACTCATAGCAGTTAGGCATCAGTTTTGAACACTCACCTTATACGTCTGAAAGTCTGTGTCTCGCCATTTCTGGATTTGAATGCCAGCCAGACACTTGTCAATGTCAGCTATGCTGCGAGTCTTCCCTTTTGTTTGCTGGAAAACACCACTCACATTTATTCAACATCACAGTGCCGTGCCCTCAACTGGTCTCTTTGTGTTTGAGCACAAACTGTGGAGCAGATTGCATAGCACGACATGTTTGAGCTCTGTTAAACGTGCCCGTTTTGTTGTTGTTTACTGTTAATGGAATTGATTGGGGGAAGGGGATGCGTGCATTCAAATCTGATTTTGCTCAAAGTGGGTCAGTGAACACTATGTGCTAGATATCATCCAAAGCATCTGAAAAATGATGACAGAGCATCTGCAGATGGCAATAATCACAGAACTGGCACTGGCAAAATGTCACGGAAGAGATATCTGCATGATGGCATTGAAACGTTAGAATATTAGAATTTTTGCACTTACTGTGCTCCGCCTTGAGAAGGGCCACTTTGATTTCTTAGTGTCTGTGAAAAAGTGCAATAAAACTTACGATCTGCATAAAGTCATGTATTTTATTAAATATTGCAAGTTGGAGATGGGCTATAAAACTGATTAATATACTTTTGTTCTTTCATTATTTAAGTCTATGGGTATATAGTAGTACATGTTAGCAAATCATATTGAACCCAGGGTCATGAGACTGACTGAGGCATGACTAACCTGAATAGGCTGATTTATTTAAAATATCAGCTGCGCCATTGGACACGAACAAATCTCCAGGGGAAACATCCAATCCAGGAAGGCTCACAACCACGGAGCTCCGCCTCCTCTCCTGCAGCCTGAGAAAAAGCAAACCAGAAGAGCGCAGGTGAGTTCGTAGAACATTCAGGCCCCTGAGGCAGCCAGCCTTTCAAAGTTATGCGTGATGGATGCTCACTGAAATAATGTTGGTTAACCACAGAGCATCAAATTCAAATTTGTTTCGTACTTTGTAAAACGTCACTTTCTACAAGTTCGCCACAAGCCGGACAAGTTAAGAGAGTCGATCTGCATGTGAATTGCAATCCTGCCAAAAATTATTTCTACCTTTACTCCAGTCCACAATAGCGCAATAGTTCTGTAGACTTCAGAAAACAATTATTCCACTAAATTAATCAGAGAAGGTTTGATAAACCCTGGCAAATGTGCTGTTGTAATCTCTTTATGCAGAGCCAAGCCATGCTAAACTTGAAAATTCAAGGCAGATTTGCTTTAGCAGGAAATCAAAGAATTCCATGTTCACATTTCTAACATGCCTTGTTAGTATTAGGTGTCCAGAACTGTGTTTGCAAAGATGATAAACAAACCCATACCATGTATCTGCTGTACACGCACACCATTGCAAAGTGGACATACAGGCCTGCCAACTGACTACTGAACAGTTGGATATATTGAAAGATTCAGAATTTATTATACCCACTGTTTAAGAACAAAGAGAAGCAGCAGAGGTGGAAAATCAGCACCCTGATTTTTAGCCTGCAGCAATAGGAGAATTCATTATTAATCAAGTCAAATGTTTGTTTGTTTTTCCCTCCTGTGTTTTTAACCAGGGTTAAATACACATGAAGGCTAAAACTATGGCAAACACTACTGGTTTAAAAACATTGTTAACTGCAAAGCAAACGCAAAACTAAAGCGAAACGAAACTAAAACAGTGACTTATCAATCCATTTCTGAAACTAACAAAAACTAAAAAGAAATTTAAATCGCATTTGAATTTAAAATAAAATATTAAAATACAAGACTAGGCTCATGATTCTAGTCACGAGTTCACTTTTGTGGTGGATTACAAACAATGTAAAAACATTTTTTTTTAAAGTCCACACTTTGGTCTCAGGCTTTTGTGCAGTTCCTTAAATAGTCATTATAGATTATCATCACTACATTAGATTAAACAAGATTATAGTTCCGTATAGTGATTTTGTGTTCTGTTCTGCTCTGCTACAGTTCCCCTGTTACATTTTGACATAAAATCCTAAGGGCTTTTAGGCAGAGCTATGACTGTTTTCCCACACAACTGGACAGGCTGGTTTTTGTTTGAGTTACTCTCAGCTTTGTGCCCATCCAGGTGTACAGAGACTCAGTGATGCACCACTATGTGATGTGAGTCAATAAACATTTTACATGGGCTTACATCTTCAGATGAAGGTATGGGGGGCATAAAGAGCTTGGAAGTAAGAGTTAATCATACCCTCCCATCTATGTAATAAATACACACCTGTTTTTGCTACATCATTAAACTAGAAAACTAAAGTTGATCAAGACAAATTTTGACTTGTGGCTTGACAAATCTTTATCTGAAAGAAACCTTTTATGTCAATTTTAGCAAGATATTCAAACAATAAATGTCATTATAACTCTCTTTAACGTTGTGTGAAGGATCACTGTAGCCACATCAGCTCAAGCAGCAGCACGAAGCACACATGAACCAGTGATCTCTTCCTCTTTACTACTAGTTATAGCACTAAATAAACAAGAATTAACATACTATATTATACTTTCATATATTTTTCCTTAACCTGTTGTCTTAATTATTTAATGTATGTTTGTGTCAGCAAGTTATTACAGCCACCATTTAAATGTTTATATTTCAACAAAGAATTGCAGTAGAAACATAATGATATCATTAACAAGTTTATATAAAAACTGCCTCATGTTGATACACAATTCAGTTGATTATTAAAATCAAGTTTTAGAATTAGAATTTTTTTTGTTTAATTGATTAACTGGTTAACTGTTTTTGGTTTGGGTTTTCTAAGTGTGAGAAACTGCAACTGCAAACAATAAAGTAACACAATTTCATTTTTTTCCCTACTAATCAGTTGTGGTGAAAAGGGGAATGATAAAATCATGTTCACATAAATTCCAGAAAACCTGCACTTTCATCATTAGTTGATGTGTATAACACAACTCTTTTTAGACCCTTCAAACTCCAACGTAAATTGTGTTCACAAATGGGATTAAATGAGTTTACTTTATGATGTTAAGCACCCAGACATTGAAAGCCCATATGAACGTTATGCAATTTTCAACAATTCAGGAGGATTATTTCTACCACATTCTCATTAGGAATTTTGTAGTTTATCATTCAGCATGCTTAAAGTGATATTACTATATTGTAATATAGTCTATATTGTAGTCCATTTTGCACACATCATATTGAATATATACTTATGCATTTTATATCATATATACTTATGTATGTCTATACATGTATGTTCATGTTCTAACTTTTAACTATTAGCCTTTATATGTGATGCGATCTGGTTTTCTTCTGTGGAGCCTGCAGAAACTGGGTCATTACATTAAATAAGTGCCTTTTCCATTCAAAAATGTGATTTTTAAAAGCACATTTCATTTATATACATTATATCAGAAAATAACACCTTTATATTACTAAACTAATTGTGCCATCAGCTACATTAAAAAGTAACATTTTTAATAGTTATACAGTTAATTTAGTCATTACAAGCCTTGTGCTGAAGGTCATGAATTTAAAAGGTGATTATTAGAAAGGGAATTTAATGCTGATATTTCTACAAAAATCTAGTTTTTGGTAATTAATTGTTTATGATACGAAATCATGATTTAAGAGTTGACTATATAAGATCAACCAGTAACACTTTACAATAAGGTTCCATTAGTTAATGTTAGTTAATGTATTAACTAACATGTACAAACAATGAACAACACATGTATTACTTTAATGAACTTTAATTCATCTTTGTTAATGTTAGTTAATGAAAATACAGTTTTTCATTGTTAGTTCATGTTAATTCAGTGCATTAATTAATGTTAACAAGCACAACTTTTGATTTTAATAGTGCATTAGTAAATATTGAAATTAATATTAACTAAGATGAATAAATGCTGTAGAAGTTTTGTTCATGCTTAGTTCATGTTAATTCAGTGCATTAATTAATGTTAACAAGCACAACTTTTGATTTTAATAGTGCATTAGTAAATATTGAAATTAATATTAACTAAGATGAATAAATGCTGTAGAAGTTTTGTTCATGCTTAGTTCATGTTAACTAAAGTAGTTAAACTACACTCTAAAAAATGCTGGGTTAAATACAACCCAGTGCTGGGTAAAATAGGGACAAATCCAGCAATTGGGTTGTTTTGACCCAGCGGTTGGGTTACTACCCAGAAGGTTGGGTTAAACATTTAACCCAGCCGCTGGGTCAAAACAGCCCGATTGCTGGATTTGTCCCTATGTTACCCAGCACTGGGTTGTATTTAACCCAGCATTTTTTAGAGTGTAATTAACCTTATTGTAAAGTGTTACCGATCAACCTAAAAGAAAATAGAATAAAGTGATTTAAATAGATTTGAATCTATTAGTGAATAAAGTGATTTTACAGTAATAATTTTAGGAATATCAAATTTACAATCATTTTTGTTCACAGATTATGGTAAAAGGGTTAACATTTTAATGTCAGGTGAGTTCTAGAGTGCTAAATCTAAATATATATAATATATATATATATATACTTAATTTTTTAATTAGGCAAGACACATCCTCATACAGAAACACAACAAAAATGTGCCTTTAATAATAAAAAACATGTTTTGTCATTGTCGTTTTCATGGGAAACACAAAAGGCACCTTTTATAATAACCCAGCTACAGTACATTTGAACAATTAGCCTACATTGAATTCCAGCATGCTTTATCGTTGTGCATTAGAAAAAGAAACTTTGACTCGCACCATCACTGTAACAGTGCAGCGTGGGAAACAAAGGCACCTGATCCTGCTCTAGCAGACATGGCCAACTAGTGTAGGTTTACGGTGAAGATCTTTTTTTTTTAAATCACTTTATTTACCACAGTTAAAGTCATGCTGTTGTGAAGCATGCTGTATAATACCTTAGCTTACTTCTTTGTTTCTATTAGGCAAAATCGCGCGACCTCAAACGTGTATGTTTTTAGACAAACCAGTAATATCTGACTGTAAGTCTCGATTCTATTCTAGTCTGTGCCACTTACCGCTTAGTCGTTCCCGGGTGGTCTGAGACTCGGGCTGCTGGAGGGAAAAGAACTGGACCAAATGTCTCTGCTAGAGTTTCACACCGGCTATATATCCGCAAAATATTACACTTTACAACAGAATCCAGCTCCGTTTAAAGTGAAATAAGCGTATGAAAAAAGTACTGTAGCACGGGCTGTAGGGCTCAGCTGGTATTGTGTAGGGGAGGTCTGCTCTGCTGCCTTGTCGCCTAAGGTCAATGAAGGTGGAGCATAGCTGTATTGTGTTGATATATATGCGTGTGTGCGCTGTGCACAGAGCAGCAGTGTAATCCCGAACTGCGAGATGACCTCATGTTTCTTTAGAGAGATAGGTAAGAAAGTAAATGACAGGTAACAGGCAGGTTAAATGTCGTAGTCGGTCTCACGTGAGCTGTAACCTCACGGAAACTCTGAGCAAATGTCAAGCATCTTAGCTTTCCTTTCTGTGACCATGTGATAGGGTTAATCAGACAGGTTGCTATTCTCAGTTATTTATTGAATTATTTATAGGATCGGTCAGTTATAATTAGTTTAGTTGGTTATAGTTAGTTATTTGACGTTGTAATAGGGTCAGTGATAATTAGAGTGATTGTAAAATATATAGGCTACCCTTACAAAAAAGTATACTTACTACATAAAGTATACTTAAAAATATACTTGAACTTTACTTAAGTATACTTACTAAAATAAACTTGAAGTATACTACTTTTTGGTAAGGGTATTCAAAAAACGTGCCAAGAAACATCCTCGTAATTGGTTTATGTTTTGAAAAACCTTTTAACTATTTTCTAAAAAGTTAATTAATTAACCACTTAAATAATTAATTCAGTTAAATCATTTGGACGATGAATTGAAACATTAATCGCATTCGTTCTAGAGCTGCATTCAAGAAGTTCTATCATTAGTTAGTTTCATCTTATCTAGGTCACGATTTAACCATTTCCACCAGTAAAATTGTAAAAATAGATTTTCTTTGTAAACGGTTAAACAGTAGAGAATTCATTACATTATGAAAACAAAATGCAGTAGGCTAATAATAATCGAGAAATAAAACCCTCCGTGTGTCCATGTGACTTTTGTTTATTTCACCCTAATGACACTAGATGACAGTGCAGGCGAGTTTAACCAAACCTAAGATTGAGACATGTACTGAATTTGGTCTTTATCATCATTGGCCCTGCTCCATTTAGTCCGTTATGCCACATTCAGCGTTTTGCCATATGGGAGGAAAAAGTGAAAGTTTGCGCATTGTGTTCATATACTGGCCATCTGCTTGCCTTGTAGTATAGGCTACATTATATTAATAATATCGAATTTGGTCTTTTAATACCACTGGCTTAATGCATTAAGCCATATTAAGTGTTTATGGTTTTCTACGGGAGGAAAACGTTTATCGAGAGACAAACTTATATAGCTTGTTTCCTATAGCTTTCTTCATGGGGACCAAAAATGTCCCTACAAGGGTCAAATTGACTGAAATTACTATCCTTGTGGAAACATTTGGTCTCTATACTGTTGGGAATACCAGGTACACACACGCAAACTTTAGCTGTGTAAGTGGGGACCACTCATAGACACAATGATTATAGTACAGTACAGTATAGTAGAGTTATGAATACAGTCGCATTCATTCACTGAAAGAAAAGGCTTGTTGCTGGTCTTATAGTGAGGAGAACTTGGACATCTGATGACTTTAAACACATAAATGGGATTTAAATGCAGAAATATAAAAACATTATGTTTAAGCAGTGTGTGAGACCTAGATACAGGACAATATCTTAAAAGCAACATCACCTACTGTAGCAGATGAAAATAAAATTTAATGGGGTTTTGAGTCTGCCACGTGTATTAAAATGAATTTGAATTAAAACATTTCAACAATAAATATGCACAGAAATATACATATGCATGCACAAAATAAATATAGGGCATTTAATTAGCTCAGAACGTTTGCGTGTTTCTATAAAATGCTTGTGATTAGCACCATCTTGTGCATCTCTGTAAAACTGCACATTGCAGTCACTGAACATGAAAATCTACAAAAAAACCAATGAAGAAAAAAAAGCACTTCTCATCCCAAAAATAATTGTAGGCTATATAACAACTGTTATTTATATAACATATGCTATTTATGTTGTATAATAAACTAAAACTCTTTCTGTGTAGAAACATTTGTACACAGAAAAGGTCTTTCTGAGGCCATTTTCCACATTTTTTTCTGCTGTACGATCACAAAAACACACATTTTCTACAAAATATCTACACTTGTCTGCATAGCCTGCTATGTTTCTTTCAGTTCCCCACAGAATTTGTTTTTGTATGTTCAATGTGCGTCAGAAGGTCAACTCTAGGCTATATATTTTGTAGCGTTGTGCAGCATGTGGTATCTGCTTCCACCACTGAGGAAACATTGTTGTTTTTTTTGTACCTTGAATTCTCACTACATTCAATAATAGGGTATTTTTGTTCTTTATTTTATTACTGCAAGTCTGAAACTCAGAAATGATTTACCACAAAAATGAAAAATCTGTCATTAACTTATCACGCTTGTGAATAAAGGAGATTGTTTGCAGAATGTCCAACTATTGTTTGTCATTACTAAAGTGAATGGGATAAGCTCCAGTTCCAGCAAGGATGAAAAGCAGCATAAAAGTTATCCATATGACTCGTGCACCGTAATGGATGTCTTCTAAAACCAAAAGCGTGTGGGAAAATCTTCCCCTCTGCAAATGATCTCTCATTGCACCCAGCTTTGCCTCATTCTTTAACCACACAACAGCCCTATTTTCTGCCATGTTTTAATCAGTCTACATGCTAATAGCAAATGTATTTGTTTTTGTAATTGTGGTTGACAGGAGTTCTTCATATGTACAATCACATGACAGAAATGAGCTGACTGCTCTGGTGTAAATATATATATTATTACTGTACTGTAAACTCCACATCCTACATAAAGGGGTTCAGTGACTGTTTGGTGAAATGTGTAATAGGTAGGAATATTTATATATTTATTTTATATATGGGAATTTCTATCATCAATATCTAGGTCACAATGTATAATTTCCACACGTATAATTTTAACAATAGGTTTTCTTTGTAAACTAATAAATATGAAGTGGTTGTGAAGTTGTATTTGTTACATTATGAAACCAAATTTCAGTTGTAATCGAGAAACAAAACCAACCATGTGGCTTTATTTTAATTTTTCATTCTCATAACACTAGATGGCGAGTTTAACCAAACCTTAGGTTAAGAGCTCAAGGCCTGGTTTCACAGACAGGGCCAGGATTAGGTCATAGTTCAATGAGGACATTAGATCCATTAATCAGTAATATTATTTTAAATACCATTATTCAGTCATTTCTGTCATTATTCCTAGGTAACTTACAAATAAAGACTTTGCTCATGTCTGATAAGCAAACAGTTGTTTCTGTGATTATGCAAAGGTGGTCTATAGATTATTCAAAGACACAAGTTATATGACCTTTAAGTAACTTTTTTTATATAGGTTACAAAGCTATCTCATTTAAAATACTCAGAAGAATGTTAGCAACATTCCTTCGCTTTATCAGATAAGGAACTTTTTTTCATTTTTTTTTTCAAATAGCACAAAAATGCATTAAATTAACATCAACCAGACAAACAAACACAAGGGGTGCATTTTTTAAATATAGGCTAGGTATACGTTCAAAAAAATCACAAACGTTTATGACCATGTTTAGGCTATTTTTATCTGCTTTATTAAATATTTAAAATTGAGGCAATTCATATAATGGTGAAAGCAGAATGGTTTCTAAAGTAATATTTTTATGCATTTATTTATTTAGCTAAATCTATAATTGGAGATGTATAATTAATAAAAGAAGCTAAACAAACAATTAGCTGGATGACACTTCACTGAAGTGCATATATTATATTAAATAATAATATGAAATGCTCTAATAAGGGTTTTACATCATACAAAAAAACGTATAAACTCATTCATAAAAAAAAAAAAACAGTTTGACGACAAACTTCCGGAATGATTGTGCACCACCGACAAAAGTTGCATTCTCACAAGTTGCATACCACAGCATTAAAGACAGACAGCATCACTTCCTTGATTTCACGGGACAGAGAGCGAGTCTCCTCCCACTCGAGTGGCATATTGGTGAGGAAAAAGCCTCGTTTGTCTCACGGGAAGAAGTTGAAAACATGAAGAAACGCCACAGTTAGAGGAATCACAATTCAAAAGTCAAGGGCGCAGCACATCTCTTCTCCGGGCGGCTGGATTATTAAAATGTGTTACTGCCGAAGCGAAGAAACAAGTGGCTTGAGACACTGAGTCGACTGGACACATTGCGCTGGATCAGAGGGGTTTAAAGTATCGGGAAAACTACTGAAACCTTTGCAGATATGTCTGAACACTTGTTTTGTTTCCTTCACATTGGGGATATCGTGTCTCTGTATGCAGAGGGAACGGTCAATGGATTTATCAGCACTTTAGGGTAAGTTGCCTCCCATTGCTCATTATATTTGTCTTAAACGTAAGTAAACATGGCATTTAGATATTTCATTTAGGTACACTGGTGTGATTATGTTGCCCAAAATGCAGTAATACAATATTAAACCTGCAATACAATTTCATCTATGTTTTATCCTCCTCATGTCAGATGAAGTTTGTTGAGTGGAAGTAGGAAGTGATTTGAGCACATACTGGAGGCCAGAGGTGCAATGTGACAGCATTGCTTCAAAAGCATGCAAATCATTGAACAGGAATGCAAAGTTTTCGTTATTTTACACAGTAACACTAATACAACTAACATAGGCTCAGTTTAAAGGTGTGTGTGTGCAGTAATTTTTGCTAATTAAAAATGTTTTACAAAGAAAATCTGAAAAATGAACAGCACATTTGAGAGAAATACGGCGTATAAAGGCTCTAGATAACTTAGTATTAAAAAAGCAAAAAAACAACAACTTTTTTTAGTATTACATAAAAAAAAAAAAAAAAAAAAAGCTGATTTAATCTCATGGATAATGCCATTTTTGATATCATGTGACCTGTTGTGTCATGAAAATGGTTGATTAACTACTAATAATCACAACACGAATGATATGTTCGCTTTATAGAGCTTTTTCAGCCAGTGCTCTTTACAAGGTATAGCACACAAAACATTATAACAGCAAACACATTATACATACTGCAGGCGTGGAGTCTTAGTCCACACTATGGTATGGATCAGGATGTGTGCAATTCACCTGTTCAGACAGAATGAGGATAAGTGGACAACAAAGTGTCAGTTTAAATCAAAAACCACTGGTACTTTTGGAATGAGTACGATCCAGCTAAACGCAGATAAAAAATTTACTGAGTGTACCTTTAATTAATAAAGGAACAGTTCACCCAAAAATAAAAAAATATATTGCTGAAAATGTTCTCACCCTCAGGCCATCCAAGATATAGATGAGTTATTTTCTTCATCGGAATAGATTGGGAGAAATTTAGCATTACATCACTTGCTCACCAATGGATCCTCTTCAGTGAATGGGTGCCGTCAGAATGAGAGTTCATACAGCTGATGAAAACCTCACAATAATCCACAAGTAAACCATGCTTTCAGTCAGTCAGTTAAGGTCTTGTGAAGTGAAAAGCTGCATGTTTGTAAGAAACTCTCCTGTTTGAACGCTCCTTCTGACGGCACCCTTTCACTGCAGAGGATCTATTGGTGAAAAAAGAGATGTAATGCTACATTTCTCCAAATTTGTTCTGATGAAGAAACAAACTCATCTACTGTACATCTTTGATGGTCTGTGAGTGAATACATTTTTCAGCAAATTTACATTTTTTGGTGAACTATTCCTTTAAAGTTAAATCAAATTGAATTTGAGAGTTTATGAGATTGCACTGTGTAACAGATGCAGTTTTCATTTGATTTTCATGTGGTCATGTAGGAACACATCTGCTTGAGACTCTTATGAAAGATTACGAATATAACCACATGGAGGTGAAATGCCCAGCTCCATTTCAGGTTGTGTTGAATCACTTTTACATTGTTGTGCAATGACTCATCAAGCAATTAAGGTGCAGAACAAATGATGCTCCAGTGCACCGTGGCATTCTGCTCTGTGGCATTCAGAATGCTGCAGTCACAGTATGTACACCTTCTCTTTGCTTTAAATGTTTTAGCGTCAAAGTGTTTTTTTCTGTATTGAATCAGAGGGATTGCTGTAGTGGTCATTTCTCTGTCACTTTTCACAATTCATGACCCAGCGGTTTAGTTGTTTTGGAGTTTCAGCATTTGTAAAACTTATTGTGTAGTTTTTCACTTTCTTACTATGATTCAAATGTAAGCGCTGGGGTTTTCTTTAAAACATAATGCAGGCTAGTTTACACGTACTTGTAGTAATGTGCACTTGTATTGGACTTGTGGCTTTCTGTATGAGCAGACTTTGTGTCAAAGCGAACTGTCAGACTGCATGTCCCAGCGTTGTTATGCACAGATGACATGCCAGTTTTTGTCTTTTGTTACTTTTGCAGTGTGTTTGTCCAGTTATGTTTTTCCATATTTAGACAGGCAGTGTATGCTAAGTATAGGATATATATATATTTTTAGCACACCAGGGTGACTAGGAGCTTGACATTGTCCAGCCATGACTTCCTGTTCCACAGGATTATAAATATGAGGAACACCAAGGCCAAATTCCCTTAATCATTCATCACAAGGTGTAAAACCAAAGAATGTAGTTCTGATGTGCAGAACAAGATTGTTGAGCTTCGCAAAATAGAACGTGGCTGTAAGGAAATAGCTAAAGCATTGAAAACCTCCATTTCCACCTTCAGGGCAATAATTAAGAAGTCAATTAAAGATGTTACAAATCTGCCTGGAAGAAGACATGTCTATATTGTCCTAATGCACGGTGAGGAGGAGAGTTTGAGTGGCCAAAGACTATCCAAGGATCACCGCTGGAAATTTGCAGTTATTAGTTATGTCTTGGGGTCAGAAAGCTTAAAGGGGTCATATTATGCGATTTCAATTTTTCCTTTCTCTTTGGAATGTTACAAGCTCTTTGTGCATAAAGAAGATCTGTAAAGTTGCAAAGTCTAAAGTCTCAAATCCAAAGAGATACTCTTTATAAAAGTTAAGAGTCAACCACACCTACCTAAAACGGCTCGTTCTAACATGCCCCGACATATCTACGTCACTATGTGGGAAGATTTGCATAAC